TTATCGATCTTACAAGTGTCCAACTGAATCACAGGGAAAACTATCACAACTGAATTAGATTGCCATGATACAACATACTTGCACAAAATGTTATGTTTGCAGTCTATCTTCATTGTGATTTTTTTCGAGGAGAGTTTTGGAGGTTTGTGTTTTTATACATTTAAAATCATCAATCAATCATTGTTAGACCACCATTAGAAGCCTGGAAGCATTGGACCTGCGTTTCGTCCTAGTATGGCACTCATCACGACTCCTGCACCACGCAGGATTCGAACCCGGGACCTCCGGTATTCTTTTTACATTACCTTGATTAGTTTATGCAAATCTTCTCTGAATACAGACATAAAATGTTTATATTATAAATTATGGTGTAGAATTGTTTCATTTTACAAGTTCATCTTCAAAAAGACATCAATTATCTTTGAAATTGAAATGTTCATTTTAACAGCATACTGTCATGTTATTTGAATGTTTCCGTCTAGTAGTACTGTACTCTTTGTTAGTTTGAAAAATACCACATTTAGAATTAAAAAAAGCATCTCTTTGAACAATACATATTTTCTCTATTATTCAATGTAATTAAGAATGTAAATTTAGCATATAAAAGTTTATGTAGGCGTTTATTCAAACACACATGGTTGCTTTTATTAAGTTCAATAAAAAGAAAGAAATTAATTTTATTACTTTTTTTTAAAAGTAATTTGTGTAATTTGTTTCATATGAATTTACCAATAGGTTGGATTATTATTTTAATATAGAGGATAGAACACACTAGTAGACAGTGTACTATTAGTTTTATGATAAAAAAAAAAACAAATATATCATTCCCATATTTTCTCACTTTGAAATTGTACAATCAAGTGTACTGGTTGTGATAGTTGAATATTTCAAAAATTTATCACATCAATCAGTCAGTCAGATGCAACGTAGAACTTCGTACGTATGTACATGAGTTCATGTTGCCATACCACATCAGCATAGAGATATAATTGTCTATTCAAATCCAATAGTAGAAGAGATAGTAAAGGTATTAGAAGTAATCGAAGAGGTTAGGATTAGAAGATATTCAAGAAATATGATTCAGTGAGAAAAGTTTAGAAAGTCAGAACTAGAGGGGTTGAAGAATTCGGAAGATTAGAATTTGAAAGATCTCAAAGAATGAATGCACCGGCGCCATTGCAAACGGTTTTGAGCTTGGTCATTCAGGGTCTCTAACCATCGATTATTATCATCTCGCGGATCCCAACCAGGTAGTCGACAACTACCGACATGACTCAGTCCACTCGTCAATTACTTCATGGATTTCTGCCATGTTTTAGTTTGGCCACCCCTTACTTTCTTCCAACCTATACCTACAGTACAAAACAAAGCTCATCGAGGCAGTCGGTGGTTAGGCACATCAATCAAACACAAAATATGTTGTTCAAAATTAAAATATGGTTCTAACAAATTGATTCAATAAAAAATTCCTAAAAAATCTAATTATTTATCTACTCTTTAAAATCTACTTCCATCTCTACCGATTATGTTGCTTTAATTTGCACAGTTTCAATTCATTTCAATTGATTCAGTTAATATAAAATTATATGTGTTGATATACGTGTTTATAAAATATTGAACACATCTCATTAAACTTAGCGCTAGGTTCAATTGCAACTTCACTCACCTTGATCATTGAATGGATAAATGATAATAGGATAGACAGATTTCAAAATTCCCATATTCATCAAGTAGTGTCTGGAGTATGAGACAAGGGAAAATAGTTTTGCATTTAACAAGTGTTAATTTAGTTGTTTATGACGGTGATATTTCATGATATCGATTATAACGTTATCGGATGTTTCTAAATATTGCAGATATTCTTTATAGGTAATTTTCACTTTTACAGACAGGTTATGATAGCATATGATACATAAAATTTTAAGCTCATACTTATTTTGAAGTGATTTTGCCTAGGAAGTTATACAGAAATATAATAAAAGACATTATATATTATTTCTTTCCATGCGATTAGTTTGAAAGAATATTTGCCTAAAAGATAAGGTATAGATTTAGTGTGGAAATTCACATGCACACACGTATTCATATTTCCTATCCTGATTTATTTAAACAAACTATAATGTCATTCAGGCTAAAAATTAATCAAAATCTGTGAATATAAAAAAAAACATTTCTTCAAACTTTGCTTACTTACACATGTTACCACCAATGGAGCATAGGCTGCCCAACAGTTTTCTTCAGTCAACTCTGTCCTGGGCTGCGCTTTCCAGTTCTTTCCAGTTTTTGTTCATTCTTCTCATGTCTTTCTCTATTTCTCGGCGTAATGTGTTCCTTCGCCTTCCTCTTTTCTTTTTGAATTGAGGGTTCCATGTGAGGGCTTGTCTTGTAACGCAGTTACGTGCTTTTCGTATTGTGTATCCTATCCACTTACACAGCTTCTTCATGATCTCCTCCTCCACTGCAATCTGGTTTGTTCTTTCCCACAGTAAGTTGTTGCTGATAGCGTCTGGCCAACGAATCCGAAGTATTTTGCGTATATACCTGTTAATTAGTACTTGTATCTTCTGGATGATGGCTTTGGTAGTTCTCCAAGTTACTGCTCCATAATGTAGAACTGTCTTGACGTTTATATGGAAATCCTGGTTTTGATGTTGATTGGTATTTGTTTGGAGATCCGTCTATTTTTCAATTGTAGAGATGCAGCCCTTGCTTTGCCAATCCGCGCCCTCACATCTGCATCGGATCCACCTTGGTTGTGGATGATGCTGCCCAGATATGTAAAGGTGTCAACGTCCTCCGAAGAATCTCCATCAAGAGTGATTTGGTTGGCGCATGTTGTGTTGTATCGTAGGATTTCACTTTTCCCTTTATGTATATCGATACCTGCTGCTGCAGAGGCTGCTGCTACACTGGTCGTCTTCTCTTGCATTTGTTGTTGCATGGCTAGAGCATGACAAATATTCTCATTTCCTGACATGTTTAAAAGTACGATTTATATTTTATCAAATTTCAAAAGAAATCAATTCTCTTCCTAGAATATACTTATACCGTCTAACTTCACCGACAACATCATTTCTATCAATGGTATCAGACATTTGAATTTTCAAAATGTTGGCTATCTTGATAATAAGATAGATTTATGATATTTTCAAGTTCACTTATGCTCGTATTAGACAATAAAATAAGATTGTTAAAACAGGGAGTTGGAAAAATTTGGCTTAAAATGATCACCATGCCTTCTGTCTGCTTCAATAACAAGTATGGATCACATTATCAAATCATTGTCTACTTCAAGTTGACAAGATCTTCTATCTTCCACAAATTTCATTATCTTTACCTAAAATCATCGTTTCAATTTCTCCGAGTAGTCGATGTATGTCAATGAATGTGCCTTAAATTGCAATTTCAAATCAAAATATGCTTTAGTCATTAAAACATTGAAAACGAACTAATTTTTGCCTTATAGTTTACTAAAGAAATACTAACAAATTACTGAGTACTAAAAAGTTCATTTTTTTAATGTTATTGATGTATGATAGATAATACAGTGAAATTTAATTACCTTATTTAGTTTAAAACAATTATAACGATTGTGTATAAATTTTTTGTAAAGAACTCATGTCAAAACGAATAAACTATTGTAATTTGTTTTGGTTTGAAAATTCATTGAGTTTAAAACCATCGTCGGATTCTTTGTAGTCTGTAGTTGTTCGTAAATTGAATTCCATATTATATAAAACCATTTTTATTATATAAATAAATCAATACCAACGTAAAACTCCAAACGTACGTACGTACATCAGTTCAATTCGTCAAACCACATTAACACAGATATATAATTCCAATAGTAGTAGAGATAGTAAAAGTGTTACCAGTAATCGGAGAGATTAGGGTTAAAAGGTTTTATTCAAGAAGTAGAATCTAGTGAAATAAACAAAAAGAAAAAGTTTAGAAATCGAGAGGACTCAAAGAATAAATGCACCTGCACCATTGTATACGGTTTTGAATCATGTCATTCAAGGTCTGTAACCATTGATTATGATCATCTCGCGGACCCCAACCAAGTAGCCGATACCTACCAACATAACTCAGTCCACTTGTCAGTGACTTCATGGATTTCTGACATGTTTTGGTCTGGCCGCCCCTAGCTTTCTTTTAACCTATTCCTACATCGCGAAATATAGCTCTACAAGGCAGTCAGTAGTTAGAGATACGCAACACATGTCTCAACCACCTCAAATGATGAAGTTTTACTAGTTCATCTATTGACCTGCCATTCTTACCTAGCACCCTTTTCCTAACAACAGCATTGCTTACTCGGTTGTCTTATAATACGCGAGCATTGCTTTTGAGACGCCTTTGATTGAAAACCAGTAGACTACGAATACCTTCTTCTCTGATTGGCCATGTTTCACAGCCATAAAGTAGGACGGAGCGAACTACTGAGCATAATAATAACAAATAAGGAACGATTCCCAAGCTCTGGTAAACTTATTTTTTTATTAAATTTCTATTGAGTAATCTGTAAAAAAAAAATTCAACCAGAATGATTTTTTTTTCTTACTTAATCACCAAGTATATTTTCCAAGTACTCCTCCTTTTGAAACAGGTAAATCAAAAAAAATCAATTGAAACAACAATTCCGAAATCTGTCTAAATAATTATCATTCTATTATAATTTAGATAAATTCATATGATTATGCAATAGTCATCAGCTAATGGATAACCGACAAAATATGATTTGAATAATAACAAATGTTATTCATTCAGAATAAACAAATGTTGAATGATTTAACTGGAAAAGTGAAATATCATTATGTATTTTTTAATGAAAACATTTTGTTTATCTGTACCTCTTAAAAAAAATGACTAAATCTTGAACTTTTAGTAGCACTGTCTGTAGTACGTTTTTATAATTCACACTTTCATTATAAGATTGATTAATCAGAAATCAAAGTTATACTTGCCAGTAGCCTGTCTGTAAAAATCAAGGTATTTGTCTATTTGTGTGCGTGTGTACTTGTAGTAGTAGTAGTAGTAGTAGTAGTAGTATTAGTAGTAGTAGTAGTAGTAGTAGTAGTAGTAGTAGTAGTAGTAGTAGTAGTAGTAGTAGTAGTAGTAGTAGTAGTAGTAGTAGTAGTAGTAGTAGTAGTAGTAGTAGTAGTAGTAGTAGTAGTAGTAGTAGTAGTAGTAGTAGTAGTAGTAGTAGTAGTAGTAGTAGTAGTAGTAGTAGTAGTAGTAGTAGTAGTAGTAGTAGTAGAAGTAGTAGTAGATGTAATGAGATTCCAAGTCAGCAAACGCTGGATATAGTAGCTATTGAACTGAGATAAATAATGTTTAGTAGAGCTTACAAATTTAAATATTAAAATGGCTGCTTTTTTTTCTAAATGTACACTGGTCTATAACAATTTCGCCAGTTAACTTTAGTTCAAACTTAACAGCATATCTTGTTAATACTCCCTTTCAGCAAAACTAGACCAATTAATTGCGAAATGAATCCTTAATAAAAATAACGAGACAATTCAGACTCTTGTTAATACCTTCATACCAGTTGAACAATTTAGTAGCTACCTTTAATCATTAACTTAGTGTATAGAGCATCGAATATTTTAAGTGTTATGTAGTAATTCTGAATCCGATTTTGAGCATCCACAAACGAGAAGGTAGGTACATCAAGTTTATGAACCCATCTAACATGAAACACATGTCTTAGAGCCCACTGTCAGGTATTTAAATTCTAAATAAGAGTTTATTCAGTATAATGAATTTTTCCCCCAAAACAAAATAATATGAAACCTACATGAAAAGTGTTTTTTTTCACAAGTTTTAAAAAACAATTTAAATGAGGTACAGCTTTTTTTCAACCATAAAATAGACATCAAAGATTAGATTAAATGAATATTCCACAAACTGATTATGTTGAATAATAATAATAATAATAATAATAAAGTTTGGTTATTCTATTTTTAAACTTACTTTAAGAAATAACCTCAATACAAGACTCAATGATAAGTTAAAAAAAGAAAGAGAAGTTTGAAAAATTTGCATCCCTGACGCCAACTGATGTGATTATGTGATGTTTGATCGAAAGAAATAATTTTCTATTTTAAAAACTGATAAATTTCGGCAAGGTTGAAATTTATTTGGGTAAAAAGCAGCAGCATAATGTGTCTATTAAAAGACGTACACACATGGATATGTTTTTGAGTTCACACGCAAGTAACATCTCACATGTAGGTTAATTTAACATTAAAAATTAGTTAGATTGAGATTTTTCTTTGTTACATCATGATCAGAATAAATGATTTAATATGGATGAATCTTTGTTCCCACCCTCATGAGGAACTCGTCATTTGCATGAAGTTGCAGCCCAGTACCTTTCACTCTAAACTTTCGACACTATATCCTCTGAGCTACTGATTCCAGACATTCATTAACTTGCTCGAGGGTTATCTATATTAACAAGAGTTTTAATCATCCAGTAGTTGATTCTACAGGTTGCAATGATAATTCTAGCTATCATGTAACAATATGGTGTAATATCAAGGTAATCTGTACAGGATGCACATATCTCAACAACGACTGATGTAAATCTAGTCATGAATCTCAGTAATGGAATGATTTAGATTCTTATCACTAATGATTTGAATAAATAATTATCTGAATGCATATATGGTGATGTCGTATGGTTGAAAATATTTCGATCAACAAGTATAACTGATCACAATGAAATCATTCCTTAAGGCTTAATCAACATTACAGTGTTATGAAACTTTTTTTCAAACTGCAACTTACTGTCTGCTTAACTAGATTTCAAGTGTAATGTATATGAAGTATATTTTTGATTATTCTATGATAATTAAATCTACATATTTGAAACAATAAATCGATCAATGTTAGACAACCAGTAGAAACCTGGAAGAGCTGGACAGCCGTTTGGTTTTGGTATGGAACTCATCAACAGTGCGCATCCACGACTCCTGACACTCAAAGGATCCGAACTCGGAACCTTCGTTTTTGTACTTGAACACCTAACCTCTGGACCACAGAGCCGATATCTAATCATGTTAATGTCTAACTTCAATCAATTCACGGAGTTACACAACCTCATACATTGTCTTAGGTAGTTACTGTCGAAACCCGAACAGGTTGAACTTCACTGGTCACGAATTCCTACTAGAACTCTGGGAAGATTCCTCACGAAGTAGTTACTAGTGAGCACAGGTAATTGGCATTACGGGGTTGTGAAGATTGTTAAGTTACACATTTGAAACCATGAATCGATCAATGTTAGACCACCAATGAAAACCTAGAAGCACTGGCCATCCACTTCATCCTTCTGAAGACTGTGTATGAGGTTGCGCAACTCCTTGAATTGATTTAAGTTAGACATTAACACGGTTAGATACCGGCTCAGTGGTCCAGAGTCTAAGCGTTTGTGCGCAAGACCAAAGGTCCTGGGTTCGAATCCTATGAGGTGCAGGAGTCGTGGATGCGCACTGCCACTGATGAGTCCCATACCAGGACGAAACGGCCGTCTTTCAGTGCATCCAGGTTTCTAATGGTGATCTAACATTGATCGATTCATGATTTCAAATGTGTAACTTAACAATCTTCACAACCCCATAATGAAATAATTTAATCATAAAATATTCGTAAACCTTATTACTTAGATAAGCTTAAGCTTCTATCTGAATATATATTCTTTCATAGACTTTATATCAACTCATAAGAAAGTCTAATTATCACTTTAAATGTTTACTTTATACGAAAATATTAAATCTGAAAAGAATCAAAGATTCAGTTAATCTATCTAATTAAGATGAAACTTATTCACGAACCAAATAAAGACATAACAATCTAATGCGGAAGATTAGAAATCCATAAACTTTGTCATATACATATATATACACATATTTCTAATATAACTTGATATAATTACAAGCTCATTGTTTGTTTGTTTTTGTTGAAAATGTTAATTTTCTCTTAAGAATCGGTGTTTTTCTGTTCCTATGTAACTGACTGAAAGAAGAAATAACCATAGATAATGGTTTTACATTTAAACTAGTTAAACAAAAACATTGAAAAAAGTAATTCACATACAAAAGACAAAATACATTTCATGTTATATCATTTCAAAATTCCTCAATGATTTGATAATTAAAGTTTATAGAGAAATAAATACGTGCTTTTCCCTTTTTGCATAATATGATTCGGTTATTTTAATCTTTCAGCAGCTTTTAGGGTGATTACTTTTCAAAAAATAAACACACTCAATCATTTATGTTTAAATGTTAAATAATCAAACTGTTATCGAATTGGAACATAATTTAACAAAGCTAATAAATTAAATATCAAAGTGATATTTAAGAGATATGTTAAGCATAATGTGTTATTTTTTCACGAATACCAACAAATAATCAATCTACTCTCTCGAAGAAATCTATACACATGCAATAGTTTGATTATAAAAACAAGAAAAGATGGCGAAATCGTCATCGATATGATGGGGTTAATGGATTGTTCAATATTAGTAATCAAGTGACAAAAAGATTTGTTTATAATATACAAACATATCTGAAATCATCAATCAGTCATTGTTAGACCACCATTAGAAACCTGGAAGAAGCACTGGATGGCCGTTTCGTATTGGTATGGGACTCATCAATGGCAGTGCGCATCCAAGACTCCTGCACCCCGCAGGATTCGAACCTGAGACCTTCGGTATTGTGCGCGAACGCCTAACCATTGGACCACTGGGCCGGCATCCAACGGTGCGCACCGCTGATGAGTCCTATACCGTGACGAAATGGCCTTCCAGTGCTTCCAGGTTTCTAATGATGGTCTCACAATGATTGATTCATGATTTCAAATGTGTAAAAACACTGATCTTCAAAACCCTAACTGAATATACAAACATATGTTTTGTGTTGATTTCAAACTCGATGAACTTCCACATCTTTTTACATTACTACTGAGTGTCATAGTTTCAAATCCTAGACTGTTTTTGATCAACAAATAAGTGCATCGATCAAAAGCATCACCTAAACACCAAATGTTCGATTGTGAGAAAGACCCGCGAACGTAAACTGAATGTTATAGCTGTTTTACTAACTTGAACATGTACGGAAAAAAATTGCATATAAACTTGAACACCTTTATACATTACTACTGAGTGTCGTAGTTTCAAATCTTAACCTGTCTTTGATGAACAAATGAGTACAGTATTCGAAAGTTTTATCGAGACACCAACCAGTGAATGTAAACTACATGTAATTATTAAGATACTGACTCCAACAGGTACAAAAAAGACCAACCTTTTTTCAGAGTTGTTGCATGTTCATTGTTTAAAAAGTAGACTCAATAATCTCCTAAAGGATAGGTTTTACATATGAAATAGGTTAATGTTCTACTCCTTCTCTCAAGTGATTACACACTACAACAAGAAGTATTCATCAACTTTGGACGAAATACTAAGCATTCAAAGCTACTCTATATCTGACACAATTACCACTATCAACTACTTATTCTCGATAAAAGGCATGTAACTATCAACAACTGCACAAACTTCTTTAAATAATTATATGCATTTACTAGATATGTTCACCAAAAAAAACAGTAGATAACACTCTAGTGTTTAAATTTGTCTAAGTACTAAGTTCCAGTTCCACTGTGAAATTAAATACTCGAATAAAAATATGCCAAACTAATGAACTGATTGAAACTTAAATCATAAAAAAAATTTCATTGTAAGCCTTTATTCCAAAACTATAATACATGAATATTTTAATTTATATTATTTACAAAATAATAAAATAAAATCTATTTTAAAAAATTTATTATTTTTTTTATTAATTATATTTTAATAAAATTCATTTTCTAGTCAAATAAATATTAAAACACTTAGTAATAATATTTCTCATTACTATTATTTTTTTTTAAAACAAAGAAGCACACTACTTTCTGTCAAATTTTAAATGTTCATCTACAATAATAATAATAATAATAATAATTAAAACAATGATAAGTTCAAATATGACAGTAAAAGTTTATTTAGGAAAATGAAAAAAAGAAAAAAGAAAATTTAAATAATTAGAAAAAAAATTAATTGACACTTTGAATAATGTTCATATTGAAAGAAAAATTTTTTAAAAAAAAAAATAAAACACATTTTCTGTTCCATGTTTTTAATTGACTTATATATAAACACATAATTACATAAACACGGAAATAAAAATGCTGAGAACAACTTTCAAATAATTAATTTTTTTTTGTTTTTTGTAAATGATACTGACACAATAAAATAAATAAGTTAATTAATTAACTATTTATTTATTTAATAACAATGTCAATAATTCAATTGAAAAATAGGTTTCTATTTAAATTTTAAAAGCATATTGACCTCATTTTAATTTGGTTCTTTTTTTCTATAAAAAGAAAAATGTAAACTTTGATAAATACCTTAAAGTGATCGCTGAATATAAAATATACATATTTATTTATAGGATGGATTTTAATGTACATGATTACTGAAAGTAAATGAATCATTTACATGTACTAACTGTCAGTCAATAGAAAAACAAACGCTCAATTCTTACCTTTCAGCGTAATAATTAACCTCGGTTGTTAAACATTATGATAATAATAATAATAATAATGACAATACTTGAAATGTTCATTTTAAGTTACTGAAGTAAGCTAATTTATTATGAAATGAAATAAAAAATTAGGTTGTGCACAAAAACCATCATCAGTTATCCTGAAACATATATATATATATATATATATATATATATATATATATATATATATATATATATACATAGATCATAATGTTTTATTGTGTATTTGGTGAAAATGTTTTTTATCGGTACAAATCCAATCACCCTTTAAATTACAAAATAAAACAATGTTTTATTTAGTTGTCCATCAAAAGGGAATCAGCTTTCTACTTACTACTTATACAAAATGTTAGATTAATGGTACATATATATAAATATACAAAACATAGAAATTCATAGAAATACGTTTATAGGAGAATGTTTGTTGGATTGGTGAAACTGGTGAAACGATCAAGTTTAATTCATCGACTCAATAATTTCCTTGAAAGCATTCTTATGTATGTTTCAAAAGCCTAATTACAGCACTCAGTAGTTTTTGATTCAAGTCATTGAGTGAGATATATGAATCATGTTTAAAAATTGAATTTATTTCATATTTTATTTACCGTTTAACTTTTAACAATATAGTGAGTAAATAGAAAAGTACTCGTTTATTCAAAAAAAGAATAAATATTCTTGAAGTGCAACTATCTCATCACTAGTCAAGGAATATGTTTAAATTTTACTACCATAAAAATATCTTCTTCAAGTTTGGTGAGATGGTAGAAATCCATGAAGTCATTGACGAGTGGACTTAGCCATGTCGGTAGTTGTCGACTACCTGGTTGGAGTCCGCGAGATGATAGTAATCGATGGATAGAGACCCTGAATGACATGGCTCAAAACCATTTGCAATGGTGCAGGTGAATTTATTTTTTGTGTTCTCTGAAATTTCAATCTTCTGAATTCATCATCACCTCTATCTTTCTCTTTCTAAATTCATCTCACTGAATTATACTTCTTGAATAATATCTTCGAACAGTAGTCTTTCTGATTACTGCCTATACGTTTGTTAGGGTTAATACATCTCTGTGCTAATGGGCTATGGCAACTTGACTGATTATTGACTGACATTTTCCAGTCTGATAATTCCACATAGTTATCTAACTTTCTTCATACAATTGGTTGATAGTTTAAAATAGTTAATAACTCATTATTATCATTCTCTAAGTATATTCATATTAAAATTAATAATTAACCTTCAGACCAAATAAATTTTCTATTAACGACATCATTTCAAATTTACCTAGAAAGTTCAGATTCCATTTTCACAAGTTACTTCCTTATAAATCCATGTCATTTAGTATAACAAACATGAATCTCTTTGGTGATGAGAGCGAGGTTGAAAAAAAATCACCATACGATGCTCTGAGTTTGAAACTCAACTTCACAGAATGTTTCTATTCAGTTGCTAAAAAAACATTATACATGTACATTTAATCAGTTAAGATGTTTCGGTTATTTTTTCTAATATGCTGTTAAACTAATAACAGTAGACTAAATTCTCTAGTTCTCACAAAGAATTGTCTAAGATAATTTTAAAATCAGCTGATCTCCAATAACCAAACTCAACCAAAATGAAACGATTTATTTATGGATAAAACAGATTCCTTTCTAACTGCTATTCATACGCATAGGTCAGTTTTTAAACTTGCACAAATGCAAAATAACATTTAATCAATAGAAACTCATATTTATTTTATAATTTCTTCTCTGCTGTTTTACCCGACCATAGCTGTTACCTTGACGTGGTGGTCGGGCTTGACTATCATCATGAATCAACCGAGCCATATTGGCTGGAACATATGATCCTTTAAGTTCTATAATGTCAAGCAGGTCGATTGGACAACGATGAGACTAAAAGCAGTTACTCAAGGTCTGACGGTGAAGTCGTACTGCTGACTGTAGAAGGGTGTGACAGCAGTAAGGCGTTTCGCTCTGACAACCAGCATCTGCAGCGATGCTGTCTAATCCGAAGGAAGTAAGGGATTAGAAAAGGTCGACCCTAAAAATTTCACAGCTCACCTTACCTCATGGATTTCCGTCTCCTTTTGAACAAGAGCAGAGCTAACACTTTGAATACTACCCATATAAAGGTCGTGTGTGACCGGCTTCAAGCAGTTGTCCCTTGGGCGCTGCGGTCACTTTGCTTCTTCAATAATATCTTCAATCTCTAATATTCTTCATTACAGCTAATTCTAGTACTATCTCTACCCCTATGGGATTTGAACTGACAAATGCGTCTCTATGTTAATATGGTATGGCAACCCGAACTTATGTACTTACGTACGAAGTTCTACGTTGTGACTGACTGACTGACTGACTGACTCTATTGTTTTGAAATGTATTAATATTGAGTGATGACGTAATAAATAAGTAATGGACACACTCACATATAAAACTTACAAAAACTAATGTTTTTCATAACATCGTCAAAATAAACCATGATGCTCCGTTTTTTTTCTCTCACAGTGAATATGATCATAAACTATTGCGTTGAATGTTTTAGTCAAATTAATGAATGCATAAAACTTCGTAATGTTAAAAAAATACTTTAAAATAAAATGGATATGCAAATACGTTATGAATTTTACAAAAACAAAATTTTTTTGTTATTTTACAATTAAAAACATGATAAATTAGTCAAATTATCATTACTATTAGGTTCGATTCGAAATTTTTTTCAAAGTTTTACATAGATTTAAACAAAATTTCCATCGTGAAAATTGAACATTCGATTTTTTCGCTAGTTTTTTGTTAAATGTTGTGAGTTTCTTTTGTTCTTTATTCTTTTACTAGATTTTTTAAATCTTTCCTTATGGTGAAAAAGAAATGATGTAGGTACACGTATTGAGTATATATATATATATATGCGTTCGCGCTCAAAACCAAAGTTCCCGGGTTCGAACCTTGCTAGGTGCAGAAGTCATGGATGCGCAATGCCACTGATGAGTCTCATGCCAGGACGAAACGACCGTCCATTGCTTCCATGTTTCTAATGGTGGTCAAACAATTATTGATTGATGATTTCAAATATGTAAAATCACTGATCTCCATAACTATGATTGAAAAATATATATATTTAATACTCTACAAAATGTACTTTGCTATACAACTGCTTACTATAAGTCAGTTTATACTTAGGCAAACAATCATTATTTCAAAATGAATATTTATCATATTAAAATGTAGCCGAAATCTCTTTTTTTTAATCAGCATCGTTAATGCTTAAAAGCTGTTAAGAAAACTAATCTTTCCAAGTTGAAATCCCAATATGCTTTCCGTTACATTTCAGTTGATCATAAACTATCACTTACAGTGTTAACAATTAAATGTTCAGTAAACATTACAGCATGAATGTATGCTTTATTTTAATCGTGTGACTTCGTGAATAAAGTTGTAGGAAAGGCTTACATTACAATAGTATCTTGACTGTCTGCATCTCAAGACATGGGTTGATGCCATTTATTCAATGTCTGTTGTGTTTGTATGTTGTGTTAAATGGTCATTGGGATGGCCTTGATATGGTAATTTTGCTTACCAAACTGGTACTTTTCGATAAAAGAACTCTACAATTATGAGTTAAATATTATTTCTGATAGAATTGAAGGTTACGATTTGAGAGAACACAAAGAATAAATGCACCTGCGTCATTCCAAACGGTTTTGAGCCATGTCATTTAGGGCCTCTAACCATCGATTATTATCATCTCGCGGACCACAACCAGATAGTCGATAACTACCGACATGACTCAGTCCACTTGTCGGTGACTTCATGGAGTTCTGCATGTTTTGGTCTGGCCGCCCCTAACTTTCTTCCAACCTACTCATACACCACAAAACAAAGCTCGTCGAGGCAGTCGGTTGTTAGGCATACATAACACATGTCCCAACCACCTCAACTGATGAAGTGTCAATACTTCATCAATCGATATGCCACCCTTATCTAGGACCCGTTTCCTAACAACAGCATTGCTTACTCGGGTGTCCCATTATACACGAGCAATGCTTCGGAGACACCTATGATTGAAAACCAGCAACCTATGAATATCTTCTACTCTCACTGGCCATGTTTCACAGCCATAAAGTAAGACAGAGCGAACTACTGCAGAGTGCACTCGTCCGTTGGTCAGCAGACGGATATCTTGCCTACGCCATAAGTGACGCAGGTTGGCAAATGTCAGTCGAGTTTTCTGTATCGGTGCTGAGATTTCGTCAAACACCAGGCTATCAGCACTGATGAGACTACGCAGATAAGGGAGGCTATCAACATGCTCGATTTCTTCAGACCTTATCACTAGTTTAGGTGCCGATACAAGCCAATCCCAAAGCAACATTTTGCATTTCGAGGAGGAAAACCGCATCTCGAACATGCTTGAATTGTTGCTCAAGGTAGTCTCGAGACACTGCATATTGTCAGCGTCTTCACTAAGGAGAACTATGTCATTTGCATATTCTGTGTCAACCGATGAATCTCTTGTTAGAAGGTCTACTTAAAATTCAGAGAAAGACAATGTCATAACTAGTAGCATGTATATGACAAAATTAAACAAGAATAGAGAAAGTAGACATTCCTAACGGACACCACTTGAAGTGAAGAATTCCGGTGACAGTCGGTCATAAGCTCTCACTCGACCTGTAACGTACGATTAGAGAGCTTGTAAAATTAAAAACGAAGCCATCCTATGTCACAACAATAAATATTTAGGCTGAATTATTCAGTGTTTAAATGATCTTATTTAGCACAGCTTAGATACTTACACTGACTGGTAGTGCAGTAGTAATCAGTGTGAAGAAATTTAATCAACAGAAAATATATAATTTTTTACAACCATATAGCTGATTTGTTTAAATGCTGTATAAATATAAAATGTAGACTACTGGTTCAACATCAAACTAACTAAATAATTAGGACTTTTCAGTAAATCAATGAACATTTAATTACCCATCACATTAAATTACTATGAAATAGATTGAATGAAATATAGTTTCACCAAAATTAGAAGGTTATTGATTAAATAAACCGTATACAATCACAAGGGTGGTTAGTTAGTTGTTCCTGATTAAGATTCTCTGCGTAATTGATGAATGTAAGAAAAAGGAAATATATTGCATTTTACAAATGTATTTTGCATTGAATTTAATTTGAATAACCTTGAAAGGCGTCATCATTAGCCTAGAAATATTCATTAGTTAACTTAAAAACAGTAAATTTATTACTCTTTACTAACTGGCTAAATCAATTTTCATACAGACGTTTTGTAATTACATACTGATTGTGGCTATAAAATCACTAATCACTTGGTTGTAACTTAAAATATTTTTTGGAATTAAACATTCTTACCAGAATTAAACCGGTAGGAAATTGGTATTCTGTTGGTCAGAAGCTGTAACCATTTAAAAATATAAGCTTTCTTATTCCTATTATCTTAAATTATTCTTACAACAAGTTTGTGAGCCTTCTCTAGTATTCATCGAATGGGAAATTTGCCATTTGTTATATTATACGCTTCGGTATTTTGTTTGATACGTATTTATTTTTCACCGGTCAGTTATGCAGTGGATACCACTACATGTTTATGTATAAAATTGACCTGATAATCAAATTAGACAGTGCGATGATTCACAATCTTACTGTGTAGATTAAATTATTCTTCTCAATAGTTTATACAAACAGACTAGTTCATGTATTAATATTTTGTAGCAATGAATCAAAATAATCAACTTATGAAACTGGAAACTTTTGAAGTTACTTCCCATGAAGTATTCAGTTTAATTTAATGAATCAGAAGACAGATGAAATAAAAACAGATTTAAAAAATGGAATATTTTTACCATCAGAGTTTGAAAGAGTCATTAAATTTTATTGAAATTACGAAGTGACAAAAGTCAAGCAAACATTAAAAACCAAGAAACACCGAATATGTTTCGCTCGTCTCTAAGTATGCTTAAAACTATTACGGGTTCACCTTAGTCGAATAACGAGAACAAAACAATGAACCAGCGTCCAGGTAGGCTACTGTGATCCCTTAACCCAATTTTACCAGCAAGAAGTCTTGATACAGCATAGAAAATATATTCTACAAGCACCCAGCCAGCACATAATGAATCCAAGCACTCAAATTGCGTTTATTTATACTCTATAGAGACAACCTTGGGACAGTCACAAAAATAGCACACTAAAATGACACAGTAACCAATCGCATCCAAAGATTTTTCTGATGCGAAATGTAATCTCAAGGTCAACTGATCAGTCCATGAAATTAA